TGCTCAGGGTAAACCTGCTCTCTTCTGTGAAAAGCACAGGGTGCCAGTGGCGGACCTGCCAACTCTGGTGTTCAATGGCAAATACCAATCGAGCTCTATGGTGCCAGTCAGTGAGCACAGGGCCCACTAGAGGATGTCAGGCACTCAGACCATCCTCATGGAGTCTGTTTCTGATTGTTTGGTTAGAGACATTCACACCAGTGGCCTGTTGAAGGTCATTTTGTAGGGCTCTGGCAGTGCTCAACCTGTTTCTCCTTGCACAAAGGAGCAGACACCGGTCCTGCTGATATGTCAAGGACCTTCTACGGCCCTGTCCAGCTCTCCTAGAGTAACTACCTGTCTCCTGGAATCTCCTCCATGCTCTTGAGACTGTGCTGGGAGACACAGCAAATCTTCTGGCAATGGCACGTATTGATGTGTCATCCTGGCAGAGTTGGACTGCCCGTGCAACCTCTGTAGGGTCCAGGTATGGCCTCATGCTACCAAAAGTGACACTGACCCTAGCCAAATGCAAAACTAGTGAAACACAGTTAGAAAAGATGAGGGGAAAACATTTCCCCTCCACCTGTAATACCATTCCTGTTTTGATGGTCGTCTCATTGTTGCCCATCTAGTGCACCTGTTGTTAATTTCATGAACACCAAAGCAGCTGAAACTGATTAACCTCCGTGGCGGTATTCCCGAGTGTAGCTCGGGGTAAAATTTCAGTACCAAAAGCAGTAACCCCGAGCTACACTCGGGCTTACCATGCGGCGCTGCATAGGGATTCCCTGCAGAGCTTACCTTGTCCTGCGCTCCCCGCGATGTGTCCCCTGCAATGTCCCTGGCCATCTCCTCTGGCCGATGCCGGCATCCGGCTTCTGTGTTCCGGTCCCTGTGACGGTGGGACGTACGGGCGCCGCCGCCGAAATTTGAAAATTTTAAAAAATGTCATTTTTTTTTCAAAACTAATTTTACATAGTAAAACATTGCTGTTTCAACCCATTTCACATACATTTTGTCCCTACTACTTTGTCCTGTGCCCTACCTGCATTTTGACTGTTCTTTCTGCCTGGAAACTTAGAAAAGTCCATGGCGTCCAAAAAGCGTCCTTTTAGGTCAAAAGCGGGTTTAGACCAGCTAGAGAACAGCGATAGTAAATCAGAACCACTTGCAGAATTGAGTTATAATGATTTGTGGGGAAATTCGTCATCAGACACTGAAAACGATTTTGCGACTTTGCTCAGCAATGTGCGAACTTAGCGCTCTATTTCAAATTTCAGTGTTTTTGGTTTGATTATATTATTGAATTAAATGTATTATTATTATATTATTATTTTTTATGATTATTTAATAAATTATAATTTATGATTTCGTGTTTCAAATTTTACCATACCCGGGATGTTTAATAGACTCTTGTTCGGACAGATTTCAGTGAGTTATTCCTAAAAATTACAGCCTACAATAAAAAAAACGACATATTTCCATGCAAAATAATGGTACCGCTTTCAGCACCAAAAATCTGAAATAATCATACCGCCAGGGAGGTTAACAACCCCCCCCCCCCCCCCCCCGACTGACCATTCCAATATCCCAGGAGCCCAATTGACTTGAAAAGTATTCCTTTAATTTCTTTGAGCAGTGTTTATATGATTAAGTATGTATTACACCTTGAGCACATGGTGAGCACTTTTACACCTTTGCAGAATCTGTAAAAAGTGGCAAAATGTGTAGGAATTAATTTTTTGGTAAAACTGTTAGAATGAGATGCTTTGCTAAAGATAAAGAGAGAGAAAAAGGAGCAAATCTGGCAAAGGGTGAGTAGATACATGATCAAAATTTCTTGAATTAAGAAAGAGAGAGGAAAAGAAAGAGAAGAGGGCGAAAGATTCAAACTAATCGGACTAAATATTTATCAGGTTCCAGCCTATCCGTAGAGGAACATGTCTGGTAGGGGACTGGAAGGTGGATAAATAGTCTGAGACACTGGAGAGCAGTGTTCCTTCTGCCCAGGAGGGTTCCAGAGGTACACAGGCTGCTGCTTTCAGATAGCCCATGGGCTGAACTGCTGCTCTATGAGGACTCAGAAGTGCCAGGACTAAAGATTTGCATGGACTTTGTTCAGAGCTGACTGCAGAACCACGCCACTAGGGATTTAACCTTGACAGGTGCCCTCTCACTCTCTGGACAGAAGAAGCAAGAAGGAAGCAGCTGTTCTGGGGACTTGTGAGTAGTGACTTTCAATTGATCCATGAGACTAAGTGCGGGAAACTGCAATGGGTACTGACAGTTGTGCATTGATGCAAGGTAACCAGATGCCCAAAGACATACCCCATGATCTCCAGCTGTGGGACCTTGGACTTCCCATCAAAACTACTGCTACTAGGATAGCCTGTCCTATGATGACTAACTACTACCGAGTGTTTTTGGAGCATTCCACACTCCCAACCACTCCTGCTACAAGTTCTACAAGCAATAAATTACAAAAAGGCATCCGTTAGACTGTTTATTGGAGCCCGAGTTAATGAACAGTTGCTTGGGTGGCTGGTGGCCTCTGTACTGTTTGAGAAAGAACCAGTTAACATCAGTGGCCCCTGTGGGGGTAGCGCTACATAAAACACACAACAGGATAAAATGTATATTCACAACAATTTTATTGAATAATAATTAAAGGTTGATTTTAAGTTCTCTCTTTAGGGTGGACATGGAATTGAGTAAGGTATGTCATAACCATCATCTCAGTAATGAATAGGTATAGAGTGTTGAAAAATTAGAACATTTTGGTTATACTAATTTGAACTAAGTTACCACATCAGGTGTGTACTATCTAGTGGTGCCCCTTTACTACTTGATGTGTAGCACTCTATCAACCCAAGTGGTGGGTATGGGACCATTAATTTGCAAAAGATCCGTTATGCCAGTGATCTCTAACAGTCCCACAAAACACGTCCCCCAATCTCTGACCATCTCATACAGCAGGTTTCCATTCTCCAGCAACACCTAAATCATATCAGCAGTCTCTGACCATCTCCTCTAGCATGTGTGCAGTTTCTGAATATTACGTATGGCTCATTGGTGCTTTAAAAACAGAAATTAGCAGAACTGGGAGCTCTTTTTCACACAGCAGAACATATATATCAACCCTACTACAGTATGAGAGGGACATACTAGGAATTCATATGCTATTATTATTGACAGCCTTGAAGCTGACCTTTTCCATCCTTGCAAAAAGCAGCCTTGAAGCTGACATTCTTCACCAGTGCAGCCCAAGAAGATGCATAGCTATGCTCACTGGTAGCTTGCTTATTTCTTTTGTTGGTGTATGGTTATATCACGGCTGGTTTCAGTAGCTCCAAAGCAATATATCAAAAGAGGTGCTGGGACTTCAACACTTATTTCATCCAAAACACAGAAAAAAAAAAAATAATTTGATGAGCTGATAAGGTGGCTGACGTGAAACAAAATTCCCCTTTGATGGGGACCCAGAATTTGAATTACAGCATGTCTGTATACAGTATATACTGTATACTGTAGATCACATGCACCAAGCCAAATGGTAAGAGAGTCCAATATGCTTTAATTTTTCACAAAAACTGATCCTATAAAACAACCAATGCATTTTGTTGTAAATAAGTTCCCCCCTCATCAAGGCCAATAGTCAAATAGATCTTAGCTTGTTGTTGATTGAAGATTGTGATGCAGCAATTTGTACCTGTGAATTAAATGGTGCAAACTTTGAAAAAGGAAGGAGGGTGTGTTTGACCCCAGAAATGCGTTGGATATATTATATGATTAATATATAAACAAAGCGTTTTGAATTCTTTTACCATTTGGGTTGGTGCTTTTAGTGTGTGTGTGTGTGTATATATATATATATATATATATATATATATATATGTGTGTATATATATATACCGGTGTGTGTATATATATATATATATATATATATATATATATATATATATATATACACACACACACTTATACCACTAAACATGCCTTACATTTCTGTTGCTAACCTCTTAGAAATGAGAAGCATTACTGCTCTGCATATGCTGAGCTTCCTGTCCACTGGCATGAAGGAGACCATAAACACACATAAGCTTTGGCTTCCATCAGGTTCAGGAGGGAGTAGTGTAAATCAACATGAAAAGCTAGAGAGTCTTTAATCTCAGACTTAAAGGAGTTTATTTACTAAAACTGAAGAGTGCAACATCTGGTGCAACTCTGTATAGAAACCAATCAGCTTCCAGGTTTTATTGCCAAAGCTTAATGGAACAAGTTGAAGTTAGAAGCTGATTGGCTACCATGCACAGCTGCACCAGATTATGAGTGCTCCAGTTTTAATAAATTTACTCCAAAGTGTACTGTATGTAAGCCCTCACAATGGACTTCTCCTATTTGCTCCGTTTTGGTCTGTTAAAAATACATTTTAAAGTATTTCGTTAAATCTGTTTGATAAGTGCAAAAAATACCTATTGATCATATCAGAAATTCAGAGCTACCCCATGTTCAGTGTCATCTTCCCGTGTTATTTGAAGGAAAATAATTAGCCCCTCCCAGTCCTTATCATGGGACTGTAAAGGAATAAACCATTGGGAAATGTGTATGTATTGCAGAGCTGTACTGCGTTTTTATTTCCCCATGATATACACTTGAAGAAAGAAGGAACAGACTGGTAGCCAGTAAGATTGTAAACGTTTATTTTTCCAATTCATTTACAGTATTGTACATTTTTTTGTCAGATATGAAAATAATTTAGCAAACCAAAAACTAGAGATCAACAGATAGAAACATCTAACTTTCCCTATGTACAATGCCGCTTTAGGTCAATCTTTCCAGACTTTGTACTAAGTTTGTACAGTACAGTCTTACTAAAGTGAGAACTCAAACTTGGGGTCAGGAGAGAGCTAACTACAGAGTGGGCCAGTAAGAGTTGATCATGAGGTGCACGATGGAACCCGAAATAGGAGACATGCTGGTTTCACCTGAAGAGGGGGACAGATGGAAGCTTGTCCCATCTACAGGCCCTTTTTGTGGGCGTTCTTAATTATGGCATTCTTGAAAAGAGTCATTAGAGGTGTCTGGCTTCTCTCTGGGGTCATGAATCCTCCATACCGCTTATCTTTGGGTGGTCCTTCCCATCGGAAATGGTGCATTTTGTACTTCCTATCTTTTTTAACTGGGCCATCCATCAGCTCTCCATCATCCAGGTCTTCTTCAGAGCTGGTGTCGGGATAGTCAAACTCTAGAGAAAGCTCTCTTCTCAGCTCAAGGGGGAAACTTTCTGAGGACTCTTCTTCAGCATCTGTGGGGAAGACTTTGATAGGCCTCCTCTTTTTGCCGACAGGTTTTCCCCATCGGAAGTGCTCCATGGAATAAGACCTTTTGCTGTCTTGCCTATCCACAGCCTCATCTTCCATAATTCCCTCCTGTGTGTTTTGGTTGTCACTGCCAGGGAACAGGTTCAATATAGGGTAGTTGGCAATATCCTCCCTCTTGTAGCCCCCACTGTTGTTGTCGTTGCTGGTGCTGTTCCTTCGACCAAATTTGTTCCAGCGGAAGTGGCTCATGACATATTTTCTTATGTTTTCAGAAAGGGGCTGCATGTGGCCATTGCCAGGAAACACAGGAGATTCTGCGGAGAGGTCCATCTTGCATGCTTTGATACATTCCTGTTAGAAAAAAGGATTAGGAATGGTCAATTATTCCATGAACTATAAGAGTCCAACCCATCTACACCAGTAGACCTCCTCTGCAAGAATGAGGTCTTTTCTTCAAAAAATCAAACCCTTTGTGAATATAAAGTCATGTGCCAAAATGTCTGCGAAGGTTCTCATTGTTCCAGGTCATGGTATAGCTAGTGTTTAGTCACATTCAGGTGCGCATGTTCTATAACGTCTTCAGCATTACAAGACAAGTCCAGTTGAGTGGACTAACTACTACTAACTATGGGCCAAAAAGGTTAGCATCCTGAAATGCTGGTTTGTGATGATCACTACTTTATTGTTGAAACAAAAAACCTAGTTTTTTGCGGGGTTTTATCAGAAGGTGGCCAATTAAAGATGTTTTGCATGCTTTAGAGTTTGATGGGGCCATCCTTTCACTTCAGTACCCAGTAGGAAATTAAATTACTCAAATAACTATTCACTGTGCAAGGAAAGTTGCAGTTTGCAACGAAATTTACCCCAGATTAATGGAAGAGATGAAGTCTGCCTCTGATTTCCATCATCCAATCATGTGAAAATAAAAATGTTTTTTTTAAATTTTCCTTACATGCTTTTCCAGCAAAAACTTCACCACATTCACTAAGCTTTGAGGCAACACTCCTTGCAAAGCAAACAGCCTAATTGCGTTTAATAACTCATCTCCAATGCCTCAATGGCCAAGAGCCTCAGAGGATTATTTTTTTACAATGTCCAGAGTCAGCATACCAGAGATTCAAATCCCTTTCTTTAATTGCAGACATATGGTTAGTAAAGGGTCTTTAGCTACTTAAAGAGATTCTAAAGGCTTAATTTAAAAAAAAAATAACAAACATGTCTATACTTACCTGTTGTGTGCAGTGGTTTTGCACAAAGCAGCCCAGATCCTCCTGTTCTCGGATCCCCCTTTGGCGCTCCTGACCCCTCCCTCCTGCTGGGTGCCCCCACAGCAAGCAGCTTGCTATGGGGCACACGAGCATGCGCACTCCCAAGCCGCTACTCCCATGTGTCCATTCACACACACAGTCTCAACTTGGCCTGGCCCCCTCTCTCTTGTAATTGGCTCACTGGCTGTAATTGACAGCAACAGGAGCCAATGGCTACCGCTGCTATCTCAGCCAATGAGGAGAGGGAGTCCTGGGTTAGCCAAGACTCCAGTGCACATCACTGAAATGAGAGGAGGCTTAGGTGAGTATTAAGGGGGGCTGTGGGGGATGCTGCACAGAGGAGGTTTTTTATCTTCATGCATAGAATGCATGAAGATAAAACACCTTGAGTCTTTACAACCACTTTAAATGCAAGACAGAAAAAGATCAAGTCTAATAAGCCCCGTAGCTTTTAACTCTATAGAGGCAGGTTAGTACTGAATGAGAAATGTTGGCAAACCTGAAGAAAATGTGTTCCAAATCAAATACAGACAAGTAGGGGAAGCTGCAGGCATCTACAGTATTACAACTTATCTAAGGATTCCCTAAGCTGCAGTGGTGTAAAACTAGCCATATCATCCCATGCGGCTGCTATGGGGCCTGGGGGGTCAAAGGGGGCCCCATTAAAGGAGCTGTGTGAGGCAATTTGAAGATAGACGATCTTTATACATTTGAAGACAACACAATTTCAGTGCTGTGTGTTATTGGGATGACAATGGTTGCTGTTGACTTTGTTCCCCCTGCAACATTTCAAACCCAGATGTACAGAAGGAAACTTCATAATTATTCGCTAGTCACAGATCACCATTGCAGTAATGAAAAGTTGTTTAGCTGTCTTAGTAATGCAGGTTTATTGCCCACTGGTCATCCTGACCAGCACTGAAATTAACCCTGTATGCCTATTGTAGACTTCCTCAAAAAATCCCAGTGTGTTTCTTTTGCTAAAAGCGGACTGATTTTTGTAGTTCTTCAGAAAAAAATGAAGTTTGTATTAGGAATTATAGAATAATTGAGTGCAGGACTACTAACAATTATGTCATGCTATGAAATATTTTGCTTTTCAATATTCTTGCTACTACAATTCTTGTTTCTTTTTTGATGACTACTGCAGCACCTCTTTAAGTACCTACTTGGTGTGGTGGTGGAAGGAGTAAGAGGGCTCAGTATTTACACTGAGCTCCTGAGATCTAGGATGATGAAAAAGATTGGTGATCTACTGAGGGTAGAGCAGCTACATGTAAAATGATGACTAAAAGTTAATTCCCTCCACTGCTGCTTTTCCCTGGCAGCTTCAATCCACAGCCCTGGTCTCCTGTCCTTGACTGTGCGACAGCTGCCCTGCTGCTTTTCCTTTAGGTTTACATACTTTATGTAAGGATGAAGGACGTAGTGAGGTTGCTGGGGGGATCCCATTTCAATTTTGCAATGGGGCCCCCCATGATCTGTAGTTATACCCCTACTGAGCTGTCAATTGTTTGATAGCTTTAGAGTTCCAGGGATGTGTAATTTGACATAACTTTGTACACCTGAGTGCCTTTTGCCTGTATCTGTAGACTGCCCTGTCCATATCTGGATAAATAACACCTATTTAGATAAGCTTCACCCCTGAGGAGTCGTAGCTGGAAAGTTGGTAAGCTGTAATAATGTTTGATGAAGGAAGCTTCTCCTTACCAGAATGCCATCTTCGCTGCTAAGGTCTGTACACTTATTGCTTTCCCAGCACTGGCTCCGGACCTCTCCGACATGAAATATGAACACCCCAAGTATTGCCAGGATACAGCTCCAGACTGGCTGCAACATTCTCCCTTCCAACAGCTGGGAAATGACAGAGGCATGCAAGAGTTAATGACATATTTTAATAAACACTACAATCAGGTAACCAAATAGATGTTTTATGGCCTTAAAGGAACATTGGTAAATGGTTGTTGATTTCTTTGGCTTTGAATGTACAGTTGCCCATAAATAATTACTTGATGTGACATTTTACAGAGAGAGAGAACTATTTTCCACAAAGAGAAAGCAGCTAACATATAGTCTAGTGTCAGATACCCTTTTGCCTGCCATTCGGGTTATTCATACTTTTCTAACAGGAGCGGACTTACAACTGATGGGGCCCCCGGGCAATAGGAAATCATGGGGCCCCTGTGTCCTCTCCCACACTCAAACCACACCCAAAAAATCCTATGAAAGGTACCAGGGGCATCTCATGGGGCCCCCTACTGACACCCAGGCCCTCGGGCAGTGCCCGAGTCACTAAATGGCCAGTCCGCCCCTGCTGTCTAACCTTCCCACTTCCCGTGTGCCTATCTTTCAGCCCATCAGAGCAGACTTCTCCACTGTTATGGCTGATATCAGCACGAAGAAGAAAATACATTAGCTGAATTGTAAAAGGCTGTTGTGACTTGAAAGAATACACGTGTAAACTGTTCTGCGCGGAAAAACATGTCAGAAGGGCATAGTTAGTGGAGTAGCACTGGCTGAGACCACCTAGTGTCTCATCTTACACAGGTTGGTTCAGGAAAATGGCATCCTGGATGTTTCACAATACTGTTTACCGCTGGATGAGTTAGTTGAGATGCCAGCAACCCCATATCTGAGGATCAGGAAGCTTCTCCTTGAGGTTCAAGTTTTTTCCAGGTCACACTGAAGACTGTTCTGCATTCATTTCCTAATAATACCATATTAAACTTTTAAGGGCTCATTCACGCCTAGTGCCTTGAGCTGCATTGATCTGAGCTAATTAATGTAAGCTTAATGCAAGTACACAGCAAATACTCTTGCCGTCTACGTGCCACGTTCACACCAAAGCACTGCCTTGGTGTGCACTGGAGAAAAATGCAGACATGCAGCAGAAAAAAAATATGTTACAGTGCACATCAATGCATCATACTACTACGTTATGGAAAAATATAGAAGTTTTACAAAAATTGGAAAGACGCAAGTTGACCTAATTTCAAAAAAATGGTCTGGTTTAAATCCCCTCCATGGGCTTATATCACCCTAGTACTTCCATCCCTGCTTTGTTCAACAAATATGTATACAAACAGATGAGACTTGAAAGGTACACCAATTCCAATCTTGTAATATCAATGCCTGACCATCCTTCTGCCTGATCCTCTGTACCGCGCTGCCCGTGTGTTACTGAACCCGGCTTGTGACCCTGACCATTCTCTGCCTGCTCCTCTAGTACCTCGCTGCCCGCATGTTGCTGACCTGGCCTGCCTGACTACGCCTTACAGTACCCAGACGATCCATCCCACACGGATCTGTCCCTGTTACCAGGTCTGCCAGCCTCTTCATGTCAGGCTCCTTTCCCCGCACACCTCTGACAACGCTCTCTACCATTGCTGGACGTACTCAGGGGTGGCGACCTGGTCTCAGTCTGCTCCAAGTCCATCCCCACCATCAGGGGCCTTGGTGAATAAGCAGATTGGGACTTAGACCCCGCGCCCTGAGGAACCCCGTGCTGTGGGCTGCTAGAGACGCCGCCAGGCGGTGCTTAACAGTACCAAACGGCCTGCCTGACCATTCCACCTCGCCAGCCCTGACTACACCTGTGTTCCCACACATTTCTGGTCATACCCGGATCCCTAACAGGAACTTATATAGCGTCTTCAATTTACGCCGCGATTTTACATATATGTTGTACAGTCACATCAGTCCCTAACCCTCAAGGGGCGTAAAATCTAAGGTCCCTAACTCACATTCATACATACTAGGGCCAATTTAGACAGGAGCCAATTAACCAACCAGCATGTCTTTGGAGTGTGAGAGGAAACCGGAGTACCCAGAGGAAACCCACGCAGGCACAGGGAGAACATGCAAATTCCAGGCAGGTAGTATGGTTGGGCTTCGAACTGACACTCCTAGTTCTGCTAGGCAAAAGTGCTAACCACTTAGCCACTTTATTTGAATGGACTGAATCACACCGGACAGCAGAAAAAATACTGCATGCATTAGTTGGAAAAAAATTATTTTTTGCAGAGCAACTGAATCACAGACGTACCATGCAGTGCAGGCAAATACACTGCATTTGTGGTATCATTAACTTAAAACTGACACCCACTGCAGATGGCAACTGCAGTGCTTTTTGAAAGTGGTCCGGGAAACACGCATGGAAATGTGAATTTCCAGAAACACGTTTAGGTGTGAAAGAGCCCTAAAGACATTATGGGGTTTATTTACTAAAGCTGGAGAGTCCAAAATCAGACTCCCTTCTGCATAGAAACCAATCGGCTTCTAACCTCAGCTTGTTCAATGAAGCTTTGGCAATGAAACCTGGAAGCTGATTGGTTTCTATGCAGAAGGGAGTCTGATTTTGGACTCTCCAGCTTTAGTAAGTAAACCCCTATAAGTCTGGTAATGTTTGTCACACAAAGAATATCTTACATACAAATTACCACATATTAATAACATATTCCAACTGCATATATTGCATCATTCTTTCCTGGAGACAGCTCTCTACGTGTTTCATGAACAACATTCACTAATTCAGGGGGAGTGTAACTATATAGTTACATAGTTAGTCTGGCTGAAAAAAGACAAAAGTCCATCCAGTTCAACCATAGAAAAAAAAAAGTTATAATCCTATACCTCCAGTTGATCCAGAGGAAGGCAAAATGTGGTGGATATTGTTTTATCACAGTTATGTGATAGTTTTTGTTTTTGATTTGTTTGTTTTTTTCAAGATGTGCAAAGAGAGATCACACAAACACTTGTAGGTAAAATCAAACTGTATAAACCATTTAATTAAGAAATTATAGATTTCATGCAATGCCAAGCTGCGGTTTCTAAAGCGAGCAAAATTCTCTCTTGTATTAAAAGAGGTATAGACTCCAGAGAGAGAGATATCATTTCCCCCGGTACAAATCATTAGTAAAACCACATCTGGAATATGCAGTTCAGTTTTGGGCACCAATTCACAAAAAGAACATTGGGGAACTGGAGAAAGTACAGAGAAGGGCAACCAAACTGATACGAGGCATGGAGGAGATCAGCTATGAGGAAAGATTAGAGGAACTGAATTTATTCTCTCTTGAGAAGAGATTAAGGGGGGATATGATCTCCATGTATAATACATAAGGGGGGATATGATCAACATGTATAATACATAAGGATGGATATGATCTCCATGTATAATACATAAGGGGGGATATGATCTCCATGTATAATACATAAGGGGGGATATGATCTCCATGTATAATATATAAGGGGGGATATGATCTCCATGTATAATACATAAGGGGGGATATGATCACCATGTATAATACATAAGGGGGATATGATATCCATGTATAATACATAAGGGGAGATATGATCACCATGTATAATACATAAGGGGGATATGATCTCCATGTATAATACATAAGGGGGGATATGATCTCCATGTATAATACATAAGGGGGATATGATCACCATGTATAATACATAAGGGGGGATATGATCTCCATGTATAATACATAAGGGGGGATATGATCTCCATGTAAATGCATAAGGGGGATATGATCTCCATGTATAATACATAAGGGGGGATATGATCTCCATGTATAATACATAAGGGGGGATATGATCTCCATGTAAAATACATAAGGGGGGATATGATCTCCATGTATAATACATAAGGGGGGATATGATCACCATCTATAATACATAAGGGGGATATGATCTCCATGTATAATACATAAGGGGGGATATGATCTCCATGTATAATACATAAGGGGGGATATGATCTCCATGTATAATACATAAGGGGGATATGATCTCCATGTATAATACATAAGGGGGGATATGATCTCCATGTATAATACATAAGGGGGGATATGATCACCCATGTATAATACATAAGGGGGGATATGATCTCCATGTATAATACATAAGGGGGATATGATCTCCATGTATAATACATAAGGGGGGATATGATCTCCATGTATAATACATAAGGGGGGATATGATCACCATGTATAATACATAAGGGGGGATATGATCACCATGTATAATACATAAGGGGGATATGATCTCCATGTATAATACATAAGGGGGATATGATCTCCATGTATAATACATAAGGGGGGATATGATCTCCATGTATAATACATAAGGGGGGGATATGATCTCCATGTATAATACATAAGGGGGGATATGATCTCCATGTATAATACATAAGGGGGGGATATGATCTCCATGTACATCAGTGGTTCATATAGTGAACTCGGTGTGGAGTTATTCACCCTGAGGTCATCACAGAGGACAAGGGGGCACTGTTTATGTCTGGAGGAAAAGAAATTTACTCTCCAAACATGGAAATATTCTTCACAGTGAGAGCTGTGAAAATGTGGAATAGACTCCCTCAAGAGTTGGGTCTGGCCAGCTCATTGGATTGCTTTATAAAAGTCCTGGATTCTTTCTTGGATACACAGAATATAACTGGATATAACATTTATAGGTAAAGTTGATCCAGGGAATATCCGATTGCCTCTCAGGGGATCAGGAAGGGTTTTTATTTCCCTGCAGGAGCAAATTAGATCATGCATTGTTGGGTTTTTTTTTGCCTTCCTCTGGATCAACTGTGGGTAAAGGATTATATCCCCCCTTATGTATTATACATGGAGATCATATCCCCCCTTATGTATTATACATGGAGATCATATCCCCTTATGTATTATACATGGAGATCATATCCCCCCTTATGTATTATACATGGTGATCATATCCCCCTTATGTATTATACATGGAGATCATATCCCCCTTATGTATTATACATGGAGATCATATCCCCCCTTATGTATTATACATGGAGATCA